TACTTAAAGAAGGAGTATATTTCATTTTTAGAAGAGTTTCTTAATTCCCCAGTAAGGTTAAACTTAACCTGCTGTTAAACTTGCATTCAGGACTTTTTAACCTCAAGCTGTACATTTTTCGTGCAAGGAAAGTCATATTTTTCAATGCGCTGCTACAAAGGGGTTATATAGGGCTCACAAAATTTATACTGGATGGGAACCATGTTGTCCACTTTAAAAAAAAACAAAAAAATATGCCGATGCTATGCTGTGTGATCGGACGTTTCAAAGTTTTGTACTATCCTGTCGTTTCAAAAGCAGACAAGTTTCCATCGTCGGAGGCGGGTATCGCACAGTATTTATGTATGGGTTACAGCCATGTTGTCATGGAGTTTATCATAGCAATTTACATAAGGGGGATTCCTTAATCGGCTTTGGCGTCCATCGGCTGCATACCCACAGCGATCATCTCAGTAGTCGCCGCGATGGCGGGGAAGGTGGGCGACTGCTGTCAATCTGCTTGTCTCTAGTCGGGGGCGGCGCTTGAACGTTGGCGGCCATCACACGCATCCATATCGACCCATAGTTGCCGTCTTGTGTTGTGTCCCTCTGAAGCATTTCTCCTCAGATGCCGGGGTAGCCGGTTGATGCGGCAGTATTGATGATCGCGCCTTCGTTGGGCCCCGAGTGCAGTGTGGCTACGTGTCCGTGGCCAGTGATTGGATTTACTTTTAGTCCAACTTCGCGCTTGCTCTTTCGTCCGTTAAACTGCGTTCGGGGGGGGGGGGGCTTGGTAGGTTGACGGAAGGATGACACAACTATTAATTGAGATAGTCTCTGTGTACCAGGCTTCGATTGTTCCCCTGGTTACGTAGCCATTTCATCGACCTTAAATTTCGGCGTCCTGGAAGGCGATCATGTGTCAAGAGTCCACGCAGTGTTCATCATCAAAGGCAATGGGTCCATTCCGCTCACTACCCGCATCAGTTTCTTATCACAGGTCTGCAATCGTTTGCCCGTCTCCGATGTAGCTAACTTTGCAGGAGTTACACTGCGTCCGACAGATGATGTTTGTCGTCTCACCTCGTGACAGTAAGGCCTTCGGAATCATGATTTGATGTCGAATGGATGGGTCAGGTCGACGGGCGATTCGCTCTCCAACAGTCTTAGGAGGCGGTAAACTGCCTCAGAGACGCCGTCCATGTATGGCAGCGCACGCTAGATCATTGACCGTTCCGTCATCGGACGTTGGCTTGCCTTGGACTGCCTGTATAGGCAAGCTACCAACCCACGCCAAATCCCAAATTATCACAGTAGGCATCTGTTGTGCCACGAACGCAGTTGTACGCAAACTCTCTACGGAAGGACAGATGCATACTACAACGAGCGTGCAAATTGCATGCAAAACTCACCTACGTGTTCATGTGTGCGGGGACGGAAGCGAACGCACGCTGCTGGACGTCAGACGGTTTTCTTCAGCCAACGAGTAGTCCGTCCGTGGAACTCGCTACCATGCGAAATGGTGTCGGCTGAGAAAATTTTGATCATAAAAGAGGTTCGACTGCAAAGCTTTTGGCATATATCGCATTTCACTACATGGCTACTTGCAGCTAGCCTGTTAAAATACTTCGTTATGTACACTCCTTTCGAATTGATTCGCATTAAAGAACAATATGCGTTTTTGATTTTTTGTACGTTAACCCGAACATATTTCACATGTTTGCAACCGTATAGTGATTGCAAATATGCAAAACTTA